TAATAATAATAATAATAATAAAAGCAATAAAAAATCTAAGGTCCAATTCATTGCACTCACCTTTCGTTAACCATTCTTTTCATCTCTTCACCCCTCCCCCTCCTCTTGGATTACTTCTAGCTTCCATCAAATGAAATCCACCATCATTGGCGAGAGAATTCCCTAATTAATGCTGCTATATATTCACAGATTGGATCAGAAATTCCCATATCCATTGCGTGCTTAAATTTATATTGCAATGCTTTTGTTAATGGAATGAAGACATGAATTCCTGAATCAAAAGCAGGAGGGGTGCGGGAATGATATTGCAACCTAGATAATACTATATGGGTCCGTTTGGTATCAGGAATGTAAAGCACATTTCCTGTGATGTGACTTATTAAATTACATTACAGTGTTTGTTTTGTAACAGACCACTGCAATGTAAGATTGCAATGCAATCACATTACAGCCAATGGATGCAATGTAAGATTGCAATGCAATCACATTACAGCCAATGGATGTAATGTGATTGCAGTCCAAACCCAATGCAATCACATTACATTGCACTCTGTAATGTTTTTAAAGACAATTTTACTCTTTAACTTTATTACCTTATTAAAAATATTTTATAATATTATAATTAAAATAAAAAATATTAAAATAAAATATATAATATAAGAATAAAAATTAAAATAAAATAAAATATAAAAAATTAACATTTATATAATATAGGTAAAACAAATTAAAATAAAATATATAATATAAAAAAATATTAAAGAAATAAAAATAAAATATATAAAATTATAATAATAAATAAAAATAAAATATATGACATTAAAATATATTTTAAATATGATATTATATAAAAATTAATAATATAAATATAAATATATTAAAAATAAAAAATAAAATATTATACTAATAAATAAAAATAAAATATATGATATTAAAAATATATTTAAGAAATGATATTATATAAAAATTAATAATAAAAAATATAAATATATTAAACTTATATTTTAATAATTAGGGGTAATTTTGATAATTAACATTACATTCCCACTAAAGTACTTGTAAACCAAACACTGTAATGTTATCTTCTCTGCATTTTAATCATTATTTTGCTTATATACCAAACACTGTAATGTTATTTTCCCTGCAATCACATTACTTGCAATCACATTACCTGTAATCATATTACCTGTAATCACATTACATTGTAATGTATCAAACGTCACCTATTTGTTGATTTGTGCGTGTAATATAATGCCTACTGGGACGGTCCATAGATTTGGCAAACTGTTGCCATCATGCACCTGCCACATGCCACTTTTGGGTACAAAATAATGGTGTACCCACGCTCCCATGCCGCTCATTTGCTTTGAGCTCAATAAGAAGCAAGCGTCCGTGACTAGGCGTTAGTTTAACTATTCGAAGTAAAGGAAGAGCAATTAAGCAGTCATATTGATTTATCAGTTGACATCGGCTGCTAATTGACCCTAGATTTGCAACAGAACTAGTATTAATTTAGTATTATATCGAATTCCTCTCCTTCGTTGACTCAGATATTTAAAGCTATCATCATAAGACATCCGTGGCCAGAACCTTTTGTCAAACGACCATGAACCACAGCTAGGACATCAACACCTACTAATAAACTCTTTCGATTTCGATTTACAGCAATGGTCTGTATAAAATCAAGAGGCAATGTCGTATATGAAAATTTTGTGTGTTTGAAATGTACATACTTACTCTCAGCTATGATGTAAAAATAGTGCCTCCAAAAGGGAAAAAAGAAACCAAAGACATGAAAAAGGAAGTTTAAAAAGAAGGCCAAGAGGATATTAGGTGGGAGGCTGTATGTGGAGGGGTTCCACATTTTGCATGAGAAGAATTTACATTATCAAACAAGAAAGACCTGCAAAGTGGGCAGGTAAACTGATCGTGGTCTAGCCATTTCTCAATGCAGTTCATATGGAAGACATGTCGGCATTTGTGGAGTTGGCTGACGACATCTTCCTTTTCGAACTCCACCAAGCAAATGGAGCACACTTCCTCTACTTCTCCATTGTCTGCTGTTCTCCCTCTGCTGCAGTTTGAGAGTTTGAAATCTTCAAACCTTGCCACCGGAAGGCAGACATTCACCTGGCAGCTCTCCTCTGCTCCATACCATGGAAAGGCAAAGCCAAGTAATCTGAGAAGATCTCTCTTGAGCTGAAGAAATGGGATCCATATACAGGTGTAGAAAATAAGGGCAGCCGTGCATAAACGCGAATGAGAACACATTAGAGAAATCATTTTCTGTCTTTTTCCTTTTGCTGTCAGAACTTTCCTACAAGCTTTTTCAAAGAGAAAGGGATGAAAGAAACAAACTCTGCAGTGGGTTTTCTTTTCTTTTATCTCGAAGGCTAGTGGTGACTGAAGATGATGGTTTGACATGAAGAATGAGAGGGAGGCAACCCTTTATATAGGAAATGAAGCTCAAAGAGCCTGTGACTTCCTTTATGTTGGAGTAAAAATAACATGCTAGTGTTCCCCAATACTCCAATTCTAGCAACGCTTTGACCTTTTGGGAGGTTCGTTTCACCTTGCAAAGGAATATTAAAGTGTTTGAAAAAAACCTTTTAAAATGGAAGTCCTGTGTTTTTTAACGTATGGGTCGTTATCGAACTCTGAATTCGGCGGGGTTGCAGGGCCGGCGCCGACCCCACAGCCCCTCAGTCTCGCCTTTAATTTGGATAAAAACAATTCATGTTTAGCAGCCACGCTTCCGGCCAAAGCAACAAGCATGCTATTTTAGTGATTAATTAGTACGTAAACGATAAATTAATTCGTTAACCCAAACTGCCCAAGGCATGAGACCTCTTGTCCTCTTAGACGAGTATCAAGGCTCATTTCCTGTTAGAACACCAAACTGAAAAATTTAGAAATTGGCTTCAAGGCGTGTATCAATGCCACTATCTTTAAGGTTTTATTCGCCCCCACTTAAGTGTGCAAAAGAGTTACCGGCGTATAAACCTCGAAGATACAATGAAGCCCAATGATTGATGGCGTTTTGCACTGACGAAATCAATCCACTGAGCACTCACCGGAGTATAACAAGATTATCAAACTTCTATAATACTTTTCTGCAGGAAAATAGTATAGAAGAAAACTTGGAAAATGTTTGAGAAAGAAGATTGAGAGATATTGTTGTTTTTTTTTCTTTTCAATGGATAATGAGGGTCATCTTTTATAGGCATAGATGCCTGTTCTCAACAGACACTATTTGTGTCTGTTACAAAGAGTTGCTTCTGTTGATCTTTTCCCAACAGACGTGACTCTTTATAGTGTCTATTGATTTAATTTTCAACAGACACAACCCTTCTTTTCGATATGAAATCATATTTATTTGAAAATATCCAACATTTCCTACTCAAACCTACAACATTAAGCCTAAACTAAGTTGGTTAGGATTATAAACAAGACCAAGTTGCTAGAGATCTAATAGGCAGATTCCAGTTGTGTTTAAATAATCATCATAATTTATGTACAGTTGCTCGCACCAAGGTCGTCTTTCCCTATAATCTACTGCTCAACTTGCAGATAATCGACAATCGGTTTGTCCTATCTTCAATCTGACCCTCATTGACCCTAGCCGGAGACAAATTGCTCCAGAATTGGCTCCTTAACTCAGGCTAAACCTGCTTGCATATTTCTTTTTTCCTCTTAAAAGTGGTTTACATATGAATGAGCATGTGAAAAATTCTCAGTTACAGGGATATATGCACCATTAGAAACCAAAATAAAGCATTAAAAATTTAATGGTAAACCATGTGTCACATGCCCTTTACTCCTGCAAAAGGGTGCGTTTTTATCTTATGGGGAACAATGTTTAGAAGCTCTTTGATTCATATACTTAGCTTGCTTTCCCCGGTGGATCAAAAAGGCAACATGTGCAGATTTATCAAACTCACGCTGGAGGGTTTGCGTATGCTTATCAAAACCACAACATGAATATTATCAATTTAATGGTCAACTTATTATGGGGACAACCAAAACAGGGAACACCCACAGATAAGTTGGTTGTAATCCTCTCCAGCCTAGGTTTGACAATCTTTCTATTACGAGGAAATAAATAAGACCGACCAAATCACAAAGATCTTATAGGGCATTGAGAAAACCTATTGGTGAGTTGTGCTTAGCATTTAAACTTTGGGGTACCTTGTGCATTGATTAAATATGCTATTCCTCTCAAGAGGAGACGTATCTTTTTTTCACTTGAAACCCTCTTCAAAATAAACAATGCCTGACCACGTGCTGTGCACAACCAGCGCAGGACTTACCGGGAGTATATATTCAACCATTTTTTCTGTTACTAACCGACTTCTGATGTGATGAGATCCAGTTATCTTCGAAGGCTGTCAAACTCTGATCCTGCAACATAGATTTGGATGATGACCTTGATGATTAAAACATTCAACAGGCGGTGGTTGCATCTTGGTTCTTGACAGTAGTTGCCAACAAGGCAGGGGGGTTTCACAGCAATTAGACCTTCAAGCTGGGGATCTTCCAAGATGCATACAACACCAAAATGCTAAGGCTCTTCACTCCTGAGAGATTCCTATTCATTCCAAGGTCAAAATTTTAACATTATCAGGACAGCGATCCCAGTAACATTAGAGGAGTCTCCTTTTATGTTTAAGTATTTTCATCTCATAAAGCTAAGAATGATCCTGGAACTTAATTAAGAATATTAACTGTATGTACTTGCACGCCCATGTATCCACCAGATCTAAATTCAACATTTAGATAAATTCAATGGATAAACCAGCTTGATATCGAAATAGCCATTGCTAATATGTGTCAGTTTCAGTTTATATGAAACAGCAAAATTAGAACTTAGAAGTACTAGCATTCATGAGAGAGCTACTAACCCCACCGCCACTAATGCCTGCTAATGCTATAATCAATGCCTCCACTGCTTCCTTTGCTTTCTCTACTCTATCAGACCCACTACTGTCACTAATCCACACCAACTTGTTTGACCATCTCCTTTCTTCCAAGGGATTGCTTCCACCCCCGGAAAGGCCTTGTCGTTCTCCTGTGTTGAATCTTTACTTCTTATTCTTTAGATATGCTAATAGCTAAGCCATCATCCCCTGGCCCCTGCTACCTCCACCATTGCCCTCATTTTTGTCATTCTACCCACAAAACCTTGACATTGTTGTAGACTTGTAGCTATTTGCTATGCAACAACAAAATTATATGAGAAAATTAGTTTATCTGAAATTAGTCAAGATATCGAATGCTCATTTGAAGTCTAAAGAAACAATGTAAATACACATTTAGATACCGCTTTACCAAGCCTCACATTAAAAATTGTCTTTAAACATTTTGTTAAAGCAGCAACTTGTGACTATCAACGTTTACACAATAGGATCAACAACACTTGCAAAACAGCAACAGCTGCTTATGCCCGTACAAGTTCTATTGTAAAGGTTTAGAAGCCAAAAGATCAGATTCTATTTATAGTGGCTTAAATTGCCTAAACACAATTTCAAAGTGAATGGCCATACTTAGGCATTCTTATCACTGGATCAGCTGAAGCGAAATGCAAGAATGAATGTACGTTTTCAATTGAAGTGAATTTGACAAATTGTATGAGTGCAAATTTTGTTTTTCTGGAACTGGAGAGTTGGTTCCATCTTTGTCAACAGTTGTTCTGTGCTAAAAGCTAAAGTAGCCAAAAATCAAACAAATTATGATGATTTTCACCTGTCCTCCTTTCCTTTTGTTTCCTTCTTGCATTTTAAGGCATCATTCTGCAATATATTTAAGCTGATTATAGTTTTTTGCCTCAAGGTATTGTGACACAATATACCAGCAAAATGTAGTAAGAGCTCCAGTATAAAAACTGGTATCCTTGCTAATGCAAACCCAAGAAATTGAATAGAAAAGAAGAGGTAACTTTCATTCATAAAATCGACCATTTTCCAAAATCGTCCCACATAAGTGGAAACTAAATATCAGGAAACCAAGGACAAGGGGGAGGGCAGAGAGACTTACAAAAGTTATGAGCCTAACAGTAAGGAAAAAAAAGTTTAAAATATTTTCTGAGAGGGTTTCTTCCCAAATATTGCTTCCCAAACCAAAGGTGAAAAAGGTGCCTTCTTGTCCAGAAATTGTCTAACAGCTTTATCATTAAGGACAAATCCCTTTTGTTTTAAAGTTCCAATAACACTCTGTGCTTCTTCCACACCCTTCTCCTTACACAATCCATCAACCAAGCCCACAAATGTGGTCACATTGGGGGAATGTCCCGCTTCAAGCATCTCCAAGCAAAACTCAATGGCGTCATCCAATTTGTTACATCTATACAATCCTTGAATCAATACAGTATAACTAAAGGAATTAGGAGTTACACCTTTAGATTGCATCTTCCTGAAAATTCTCTTTGCATCATCAAGCTTATGGGCTTTGCAGAAGCCATCAACAACAGCTGTGTATATAACAACTTCTGGGATTGTACCTTTCTCCCGCATTGATCCGAAGAGCTTCATTGCTTCTTGGATAAGACCATCTTTACAGAGCCCATCAAGCATGGCTACGGCATTGGGGATAAGACCAGTCTCCTTCATTTTCTTGAAGATCTCATCAGCATCCTGTGGCGGGGAAGGCTTTTCTTCTTGCTCTTTTCTACGTAACAGGGCTGCAGCTTCTGAATCTGAGGGCTGTTTTCCTCTCTTGTTGTCAAGCCCAAGCTTGAATTTTTCCAGGAAATTTTCATCAGATTGAGAATCCTCTCTCCTCCTGTTAGGAACAGAAGCAAATTTGGTATTGAGAGATTGAAAAGAGGAACCATTACCTTTCAGGGTGGTTCCTTTGGTTTCTCTAAAAGAGGGATGGAAAGGCCTTTGACCCTCTAAGGGTCTGTTGGGAATAGGCTCTGGAGGCTTGTCACCATCTCCATTGCTGTTAAAACTGATAGGGTCGTTGTCTCTGAAAGGTCCTCTCATATCACTGAAAAGGCGCGTTTGCAGGAGAGAAAGTGAAGGCGATGCTCCTGAAATGGGGTGATGCGGCTTCAAAGTTAAAATCTTCATCAGCTTTGTAAAAGCCCGAGCTTGCGACGATTCCATATTGTAGCACTAATATTAGTATCAACGGCTGTTGTTTCTTCTTCAATCCAAAAAACCTCCTTTTGATTTTGACAGGAAGTAAGGGTTTAAGCTGAGGGACGCTAGGGTTTTGGGGCCAAAAGAGAACAGAGGGAGGGGAAGAGTTGGAGGTAGAGAAACGGAGGCCAATCTCGTTGAGGGGTAAAATCGCCATTTAAGTACAAGCAGGAAGGGTCATAGAGGTAATTTCAGGAGTAAAATTGAGCAAATCCTATTTTTCAGCGGTAAACCCAGTAGCGAGGGGACGCTGGATATTGGATAAGGCTTTTACAATGCCCGGAAGCTCCACTTTATCCCAGTAGCTCATGCAGCTCTAATGCCCCACAATCCAATCACTTGCCGATAGCGGTCGGGCTTTTCCTTTGGTTATCTCTAATTCAATTTCAATAGGTAATGTTGCCCCGTTCAATCACCCCAGTAATAGTTCACCTGGTTCATCAACATCAATTCAATTGGAAAGAAAGAGTATAAATTCTGTAATCTTTGCTTAGGTTTCCTGTTCTCTTTCGTTATAGAATTATTTTTGTGTTGTTTTTTTTTTTCTTAGAACATTCTCGTCGGAAATCTCTGCTTTTTTTCTTGGTGTCATTTAATGATTTACTCTGCTTGGTCTTGCACTTCATCTTGATTAAGTTGTAATTTTCAGTCGTATGTCTTTCTTAGCCCCCTGAATTCGTCTTCTGTTAGTCTTATTTGTTAGTGATTACTTGTAAGAGTCTTCATTTGCTCGGTGCTTATTTCTTTTGATAATACCAGTGAAGCTAACAAGACTACATTCTCCCCAGTTAAAAGGAAATGTATTTAATAACCGCTCGAAGCATAAACCTTGATGTGCTTTTCAGTTTCTCTGCTGTAGTGCCATTGCAACATATTTTACATGGTGGCCTTGAGGTCAATGTAAATTTACAATTCTAGCTAGAGATTAAAGTTTTGCTCATCTTTGTAACAGATATGGAGGTTGCCAGCAGTCAAAATGGTAGTAGCATCATGTGGTTCTTCAGAGACAAAGGTTTTGATGATAAAAGTATCAACGAAATGTTCAGAAAGTGTAAGCGCCTTCAGGGTGTCCAGAAGGAAACAGCCTCTGAAAACTGGGCTTACCTGAAAAGCATTGGTATTCAAGAGAGAAAGCTGCCTTCTGTTGTTTCCAGGTGCCCCAAAATTCTTACTCTTGGTCTAAATGAGAAGCTTGTCCCCATGGTAGAGTGCCTTGCTACCCTGGGAACTAAACGTCATGAAGTTGCTTATGCGATTGCTAGATTCCCTCACATAATCTCTCACAGTGTGGAAGAGAAGCTTTGCCCACTCTTGGCTTTCTTTCAAGCATTAGGGGTCCCTGAAAAGCAACTGGGCAAAATGATATTGCTAAATCCAAGGCTCATCAGCTATAGCATTGAATCTAAACTCACAGAAATAGTTGACTTCCTTGCCTCCCTTGGACTTACTAGAGAAGGGATGATTGGTAAAGTTCTGTCTAAATACCCATTTATAATGGGTTATAGTGTTGACAAAAGGCTACGGCCTACCTCTGAGTTTTTGAAATCAGTAGGTTTGTCTGGGACAGATCTTCAAACGGTGGCCATGAACTTTCCTGAAGTGTTGTGTAGAGATGTGAGTAAGATTCTTAGACCTAATTTTGCATATCTAGAAAGATGTGGATTTGGGGATAGACAGATAGCAGCTTTGGTGGCTGGCTATCCCCCTGTTCTTATTAAGAGCATCAAGAATTCTTTAGAACCTAGGATTAGGTTCTTGGTTGAGGTGATGGGGAGGCAAATTGAGGAAGTAGCTAATTACCCTGACTTTTTTCGGCATGGTTTAAAGAAGCGATTAGAGTTGCGGCACAGACTTTTGAAAGAGAAGGATGTCACTTGTAGCTTAAGTGAAATGCTGGACTGCAATCACAAGAAGTTTCTACTGAAGTTTGGATTGTTTAAAGGGTTTGCCTAAGGTATTAAAGCCACATTCCAATTCTCTTTGATCTATCATTTTTGTACTGTAGCTTGATTGTCACCTTGTTCCATGAAGTGAATCTTTGTATATGTTTCTAAGCTTAATAATGAGAAATTAAGATCAGCAACTGCAGCTTTTGTCCGAGCATATAGTAATTCTTTATTTCAGTCTGACATAAAGGTTGTCTATGAAGCCTAACTTCCTATTCCTTAATATCTGAGATCTGGACTTCCATCTGGTGTTTGCGAAGTAAGTACGTTGCCATATCTAAGAGGTATCATAACTCATAGTTCAGCAGTGACTGATGCAACATCACTTCTGACGTAGTTTAAGAGTCTGTCTGAATGTTGAATTCTAAGATTCGTAAAGTTCATTAATGTCCATGTCTGTTGCTTTCAGAAAACAATCTTCTCTGATAGATTTTTATGGTTTATTCAATCCATAAACAACATTTATCATTTTTGATAGTTTTATTTTTTAGAACATTTTGGCATACTGAAGATTAGTGCTTTTTGGACCAATATGGCTATACCATTACCTGGTGATAGTTTACAGGAATTTTCAGTCTTTAAATGAGCTTACAGTGGTGCGCCTGCATGGCATTGAGTACTTTACTATTACAGCATTAAGTTTAGAACCTTAAATGCAGTAATCCTTTCTTAAGAGGTTGTGAATGTGAACAACTAATTCAGAACATCAAAGACAAGGTTATCTGCTAGCTTTCATTTTGAACTTCATCTGTGATTGAACTATTCACAGTGTGATCATGGACATTTATACTAGAATAAATGTTGGAAATCTTAGCCCAAATTTAACTTTTGGTTCAAGTCATAGCACCCTCATCTTGTATTTCAAAATCAACCCACTATAAAGTTGTTGCAGTGCTGGATTTTGATGCTGTTACCTCTGCAACGTAAAACCTTAAGCACCACTACCCTGAGGCCAAAAACATCAGATTCAGGGCACTGTGTAAGAGCATTTGGGGCAACATAACCCATTGTATTAGGGACTCCAAATAATCCAAGCTCTGTATAGAGTTGCCTTCAATTTCCCAGGGCTCACCAGAGGGTACTTTCAGCCGATCATAGTGGCCTACGCATTCTTGAAGCTGCAGGATTTAAGCCTGGGGATGTGTTGAATTCCTCTGCGATGTTGTTATTGCCCTTCGCCTTCCAACATCATCTTGTGAAGATAATGCCAAGCTGGAAAGCAAATTGTCAGTGTCGCTAAGAGGTGTAGGAATACCAGAAGGCCATTGAAAGACTGGCTTGAATGGAGGTACACGAGGGACCGGCAAAGTTCCATTCATAATTTGGAAGATGTCCTGTGTTTGAGGCCTTTCACTGGCAATAGGATGTGAACATGCCAACCCGAGTAGTAACAACCTCTTTGCTTCATCAACCACGAATTCGCCGTTGAGGCATTCATCCACAGCTTCTACAATTCGCCCTTCACGATGTAACATCCAAACCCAATCAACTAAAGTATAAAGATCTTGCTGCTGTTGGATCTTGATTCCAGGACTTCTGCCACAAACAACCTCAAGCACCACTGCCCCAAAGCCATAAACATCAGATTCAGGGGTGGCACTCCCTGTATGAAAGCACTCTGGAGCAACATAACCCATTGTACCAGGGACTCCAGATAATGCTAGCTCAGCATAGGAATGCCTTTCATTTTCCAGTGCTCGGGCAAGGCCAAAGTCACCTAGCCGAGCATTGTAGTCTACATCGAGCAAGATGTTGCTAGCCTTGAGGTCACGATGCACCACCTTTTGATCATACTCGTTGTGGAGGTAATGCAAAGCTGATGCTATGCCGGTTAGTATCTTGTATCGATGGCTCCAATTCAGAGTGCCCTGGTTGGAAGTGCCATAGAGGTGGCCGTCCACGCTTCCGTTTGGCATGAATTCATACACCAGCAGAAGCTTCCCTTTCTCGTAGCACCAACCTTAATACAGTCCACAATCCAATCCACAGAAGATGAATGGTTCAGGTTTGAGATGTTACAACTTTGGTTTTTGTGAAACATGGCATTGATATTTTTTTTTTTGTTGTTGTTTTCCTTATTTCTTATTTTATATAAAGTAATTTTCTACGAATCAAGAAGTTGAATTTATTGAATCATAACAAATTATAAAAGAGTACTTATGCTGAATGATCTGAAATCAACAATGGGTGTAAACAATATTAACTTTAAAAATAAAAGATACCATATACGTTATTCTATTGAAATCATTAAAGATAAAAGTAAGAGATGGATCGGAGATAAAGAGGGTGAATGAAAAGCAGTATCCCATTTGTGTTTTTCGTTTTCAACGGACAGATATTACTTATGGTGACAGGATGTTAGTTTCTGCTAATGCCGTTTACTTTCTTTTCCTTGGGAGTGGTTGGGTAGAGAGATAGGCATGTAGTATGTTTATAGCAGCCATAAGTCTTTGCAAGTGATGATTGCTTCTTGTAATGCTTTCTGAATCTGGCTGCTCAACTTTGATGAAGTCAAAATATAGAAACCCAATAATCCAGGAGGGGAAAAAATGAAAAAAAAAAAAACAAAGAAAAAGAAATGCATAGAATGAACGTTGACCATCTAATCTGAAAATGAGTATTCCGTATTGGGTTTTCCTAAAAGCCACATAAATTGGTTCAGTTTTATTGCTCCACCACTAACATGATGGAAGCGCCTCCAAGTTGCAATTTTTGAAGTTATCTTCATATTCCTTTCACATGCACAAAAACGTGATAAGATGGTTTTCCTCTTTGATCAGTAGCCAAACATGGAAACTCTTTTATCTAAAATTTATGCATAAAGTAAAAGAAATTTTAACAAGAACAAAAAGAAGACATTTACCTACTAAGCGGACGAGATTTTTATGGCGAAGACGATGAATGATGGCGAGCTCAGCCAGGAAATCATCCTTGCTTTTGATGCTGTCTCTTGAGAATTTCTTGACAGCCACTTGGTTGGCGTTGTGATTGTTACGATTGACGTCGTCCTTGTCATGGGGATGGAGGACGCCTTTGTAGACTATACCAAACCCACCTTCGCCAAGCTTCATACTCTCGTGAAAATTGTTGGTGGCGTTCTTCAATTCCTTGTACTTGAACTCTCTTGGCATTCCAGGCAGCCATTTCAACTTGCCAAACTGATCAGCAGCCTCATCCGAGCCTTTTCTTCTTCTCCTGTACACAATAGTTGCCCATAGGAGGACCAGGAGCAATGTCACCACTGGAACACCTACCCCAAGACCAATCCTCAACCATTTCCTGTCTTTTCCCCTGGGCAGAATATCTATGTCCAAGCTCCATTTCAAGACACAATTCAACTGGATCTGTGGGTCACCTGTTGAACCAGCAAAACCGAAGTAGGAATCTTGTTTCAGGTGTTCCTTCAGGTTAATGGGGGCGCTGAGAAGGGGTTTTGAGGGCTTATCTTGCCCCTCTTCCACCATGTACACCTCCATCAGCTGGAACGTACCATTGTAGTCAACCCAGACCGTGTAATTGGTGCCTACTTCTGGTGATAATATTATATTATCATCGTCGAGAGAAGCAAACTTCTCTGATTTGACTGAGTTGATGTCAAGCGCAATATGGTTGTCGTCTGGGTCGAAATCTGGCTGCCTTACGGTATCAAATTCGATAGCTACAATTTGGTTGTCGACACTACCATCGGTGGAGGCATTGGTGAGACCAATCCATTGGCCGTAACTATTGGCCGGAATACTTGAAATATTAGGGGCTATGAGAAATGCAAGGCCATGACCAGCAATCCAGTTTTTTTTCCTGAAGATGTTGATAACAAAGGCTGAGCTGAAGGAGGCCAAAGTGTCGTCTGACAACCAAAGCCTGAAGGGTTTGTTATACATAATGCGGCCAGACTTGTTGTAGTGGATTGCGATCATGTCGTCGTTGGTGGTGTCAGGAGTTAGCTGAAGAGCTCCACCATGAATGCTGGATGACTCCAACAGGGTGAGTACTGACCGATGGCTATCATCGAATCCATCATATGAGATTACTCTTTTCTTCTTAAAAGAAGCTGCTGTCGCTGTGCTCAGTTGCAGAAGGGCGAAAACGATCACGAAGACTCTGATGGAATTTCCATTTAACATGCTCATCTTATTAAGCGCTACCTATTTCATACGATCAAAGGGTTGTGCGCATGAAAAGTTGCAGGAAAGGCAGAGGGGAAACAAGTCGAAAAGGGGATAAAATGGAATCTCTCTCTCCCTCTCCCTGTGATATTTACAGATATATATACAAATCTTTGAAAGTGAGAATATGATTAACGAGAATAGTCTTTGACAGGAAAAACTTCCCTTCCTTGACAAAGTCCACCTCACCGTGCGCCTCACTTTTGTTCGTGAACCTGGCCCCTACTAATGTCATAGTCCTTTCTTCGTCTATTTCCCGGAAAAGGAAACGAGATAGGGAGAGAGTTGATAGTGGAACAACCGCAGAAATATTGGAAGTCGATGTAAATTTGGGCAGAAGAGTCAATACATTCACGCCCGGACATGAGTTGAATCTTTCATTTGTTATTTTTATTTCAAACGTTATACACTGCTAAAAAGGATTAAGAATCTTCTTAGCAGGAGGATAGCTTAACTAATAAATCGTAAATACGGGGAAATAACCTTTTTCAATTTTTTGTATTTGAAGTTAATTCTGACCATTCCATTCGAGGACGTAATTAAAGAAACGACATCGTACATATCGAATGAATTAGAGATTGACCCGCAGCCTTTTCTTACCGAACAATTGTTATTAACATATCCACATACAACTAATTTCATCAACCCCCTACGTCTACTCTATCCTCTTTAGGCTTTTCTTCCACGACTAATACGGATTGGAAGAATGGTACAATTCAGAGACGTTTTAAGGTTTGGTTCAAAGTACATCTGCGTCTCTTTAATACAGAAAAATCAAGTCATTATGTAATTATCAAATTAACTTTAAAGGAAAAGACAAGTGTATATTATTTCCATTCTTTCTTTTCTTTTTGGGTCCAAGGCTTTTTGTTTACATTTACAAAATTGCACCGTTTAATTAATTATAAATACAGTTGAAAATATTTAAAGGTAAATTACAAAAAAGACACCTTATGATTTGGAAAGTGACGTTTAACTACCCTAAAGTTAGATTTGTCCAATCAAATACTTATAATAAAATGCTAATAGTCTTAATAATTTCTAACAAAGTAAAAGCTTAAGATGGTTAATTGTTAATATTTAAATCTCAGGGGCAATCTTTTTTTTAGGGAAACCACAGGGTATTTTTTTTAATTTACCTAAGAGTTAATTAGTTTTAATGTCAACTATCTTTAATTACTATCAAATTAAATAATTAAGTTATATTATAGTTCAATTATGCATTAAATATTTTGATAATTAAGAAAAATTATCATCGGTGAGGGATTTTTGAAAATGAACTTACCCCATTAGTTTGAAAAATTATTCTTTTATCTCTCTCTTAAAAATAACCAGTGTTAAGATTCCATTGCTCAAACTAATATTTGTTCACAGTTCACTTTAAATTCTAGAAATAACCTCATTTTATATATGTTTTAATTTTTTAACTCTTTTTTCACTCCTTTTATTTTTGTTTTAATCAACTAAACCTTTTTCTTTCAAATTAGTGGTAATTAATTTATTTCAACTAAAGATAATTTAATACATTCATGCCAAAGTTAATATATAATTGAGTTAAATATAAATTTAAAATATTTAATATGTAATTAAATTTAAAATATAACTTAATTAAAATTTAATTTGATAATAACAACACATGGTTCTCAAACCTCCTTTTAAAAAGGTAAAATTTTGTCGGTTTAATTTTAATTACATATATATATATGTGTGTGTGTGTGTGTGTGGGTGGGTGTGTGTGAAAGGAGTATCAATCTTTCCAAGACATGCAATTTAGCCAATCAACTTAAAAAGAAAGAAAGAAAGAAATGGGCAATGATAACTGTACATATTGAGGAAAGCAACTGATCAATTATGGTCCTCTTGTATTACATTTCTTCTATTTACATTCAAACAGATACAAAAAAGAATACTAATTAGTCTCCATTAACCCTTACAGACGGATGTTTTTGTAGCTTTATAGACGGATGTGATACTTCTGAGGGAAAGATTGTTAATGTTTAGGGAATGAATTCGTAATGAGGGGCTGGGATATCTACTGGTGTTTTTTGGTTAGTCAGCTTGTTTGCTGAGAGTTTAGACTGATATCCTACCAGTCTTGACACTTTCAATGTACAGGGTTCCCCAACCTTATATAGTTGACTCATGTAAAAAGAGGGTCTGAGTATTAAAAAGTGACCATGACTCACGCAACAATCACGTATGGTTAATCAATTAGCAGCTGGCAATTTGTCAAGATATAAAGTTTGGAATATATTAGTACCTGGACCGTGCTGCACGTTTCAGAAATGGAGTTGTAATAGGGAAAGAAACACATGAAATAAGAGCTGGACTGTTCCCTTTATCTCACATTAATAAATGAAAAAGGTTGGGGTGGAGCAGAGAGAGAAGAAGTGGTCATGGTTTGGATTTTGGGATGAGCAAGATGGTCTGTGTGTGGGGAGATTTGAATGAGACTGTTTTTTCAGAAGAAAGATGACTTGGACTACACCTTTCTGATAATAAGTCTGCTTTTGTTGGGCAGCTTGGAGACTTTTGTTTCTCTTTTAGCTACTAATTCTCTGATTTGTTTTAGTTTAATATCTCATTTCCTGTCAAACCAGAGTCACTTGCGTGGCTTCCCATTAAGGACAGGTCCTCGAGGCCAATTTTCTGTAGTTTGTACATGTGGACATTATTAAGATCGTCAAGAACAGATCATAGATAAAGGTTCAACATGATATTCCTTCTGGTAGACTGTTCCAATTAAAAACAGACGGGGAAAGAATTCTAGCAAATGTTAATAATGCAGGAACAGTTCAGCTAGGCAATAATTTTATTATCATTAGTAAAAGTCACACCAATTAAGACCTTTCAAACATATTAGAGCACCATTAATACGAAACTTCTTTCAGACTTAAGCTCATAATTACATGTAAAATAAAGCAATAACACGAGCTGTGTAGATGTAGTAAGCTTACTACTAATTTGATCTTCTGGCCCCTTTATTATTTGGACATAAAACCTGCCACAACTGCAGCAATTATAGCTGTAGGATCGCCAAGAATGGCAGAGACAATAAGACGAACAGCGCCACCAGCCATCTGACAACATTTCTTTACCTTTCCCCCTCTTCCCCCATGATGGTTTTTCAGTGTCCCCTTGAGGCTTGGAATCGTGGTCTGCATCTCTCTGACCTTGTTCTTGTCAGCATTTAAGTACATGGCTTGCCAACTTTCAACTAGCAACTCTTTAACACATGAGACATGAAGATTATAACTCTTGCATTGAGACCTGTAAGACCAACCAGGTCCTTTGCCACCACAGCGATGGCAGGAGCTGGAAAGCTTGAGGCAGAGGTAAAGATTATGTTCTCCATCATCCAGGACTTGAGGGAGGTTTGCACAACAAGGATGAAGATCAAAATCGCATCCCTTGCAGTGGTAGACAAAGCCTAGAACATCATTTCTACACGCATCACATATCCTCATCTGTTCCCCTGGGGGTTTATTGTAGAATTGGAACTCACATTTTCTATAAAAGGGATGAGTAATGGTGGGGGATGGCATAGCACATGCCTTGTGCAAATCGAACTCACATTGCTGGCAACTGTATTTGAGGCCAATGCCAGCTTCTTTACAGCCATCGCAGGTGAATGGTATCTCTGTGTATTCAAGCTTTAGTTTGTGCTGTGGATGGATTGGATGGGGGATTTCTTTGTGGATCTTCATGGGATTTTTGTTACTTCACTTTAATAAGCTGTGGTGAGACAGGCATTGCTTATATAAGGAGGCAGATAGCTTAATTTGTTTTGTCTTTGAATAGCTAAAAAGGGATTTTTGAACAGTCTTCTAGATAGATACTTTGCTTAAGTTTCACAAGTTGAGAATAATTTAGTTAAGTTGATGCAATGATTATAATTCCTGATGAGGAGAGTTGAATGAGGAACCAAGAAAGGATTAGGTGGAATCTAGTACCTTGGTTGAATAATAGTGTAAGCTATTGTCAAAAGCATTCCTGTCTCAGAAGTTAAAAAACTCAAAATTTGTAGTCATCCCCATCTAAAGTAGACCATGCTGTCCTCCTCTTTCATGTCCAATTATTGATGTAAACAAAATCAGATTTCATCACAATTTGGGAAACTAAAACTTGAAAAAGTTGGTAACAGGGCACGCAAACATAGCAAAAACTAATATAAGATGAAATAAAACTCACAAGTTTTGGGGTTTGGGCTGGTATCTGATGTCAAATTTTTTACAAATCATGAATGAATTCAAGTTTCTAATTTTGGAAAGTAATTCCTTTGTTTAATTCTCCTATACTCTTCCTTCAAAACGTACTACAAGAGAATAAAGGAAGCAGTGTTCCAATAAATCAGCTGACCCCAACAACAGGAGTTTTATGAGTCAGATATTGTCCCACTCTCTTCTCCTTAAAGGTTAAAAGGGAATTCAACAAAATAAGAAGCAGCAGCCTGGATTATTCGGATGGCATCACCAACTAGGGATTGGTCTGATCAGCTCTCTCAAACGCTTATGTCATCTGGCATCTGAGTTCTCAGGTAGAATATAATCCTTTTCTTTCTTTATGATTAATTGCAAAAGCCTCATCCACCAGTCTGATTGTAAAAATTAAATAGACTTTGTTTTTAGGCAGTTTGGCCTTGCCTTGCCTGGTCTGTCCTGTTCATGGTCTCATTTGCAAGACAATAACCTATAACAAAAAGTGGGGTCAATGGTCAATGGTCAATGGTCTAATGTTTAAGCGATGCATGCAGTCATACAATGCAAATGTGATGATCAAACTGGGAATGAAGCAGCATATGGCTAATAAATGGAGATTGAAAGAATCAAAGGACGGTTGTCTAGTGTTGGAAATCCTCCTCCATTCATAGACCTACACAATTTCTATTGCACTCCCCTTTAATTTGTTTTCTCTTTTACTTTTCTCTTTTTTCCTTTTGTTTTAATTATTCTTGTTTTCTTTTGACTGTTTAATGAAAGAATAAAGCTAAATTTGGTCTTGTAAGAAGGTAGCAACTAACAACCAAAGCATGACTGATCAAACTCCCTCTAGGTGTCTTCATGAGATTACAAAAAAGAAAGATCTCTGCTTTGTTAAAGTGGGTTTGCTTCCAACTTTTCTGGTTAGCAAACCGCCATCAACAGCCACAGCCAAGTGACAAATTAGGATAGTTTGAAACTGGTTTCTTAACAATAAAGGCAGCATTAAGTGATAAAGGGAAATTTTTTTTTTTTAATTTAGGAAAGGGATTTCCATCCTGTTCATTAAGTAAGAAGATTATACATTAATTAATGAGTTAAATGATTAGATATATAAAGAAAATTTGAGTTGATCTCTTTTAATTGTTTTTAAGATATATATGATTTAACTAATACTATTAATTATTAATCTTTTGATGAGAATAGTCAAAGATCCACTATAATTTATTATACAAAAGAATTGGATCATATTTAGTTTAATTTTTAAAAAAAACTTTTATACTTTAATTTCTCAAAATGAGTTTTGTTAAATAAATAATTGAGTCTTCCTTTTTTTTTAATGAGGAATATATATATTTCCTTTTGGAAGAGGTAAATATTTTGTATAAAAAGTTAGAATTGGAAAACTTTGTATTTATGGACAACTAAACTTATTTAAATAGAATATCTAAAAAAGTCTTTAAATTATTTAAAAACTTTAACATAAACTCTCTTATTTTTATTATGTTCAATTAAGTCTTTATATTTCTATTTTGTGTCAAATAAACCTTTAACTTTTATTTTGATCTAAACAAACTCTTATGGCTAATAATTACTTAGTCAAAATGCCATTTATCTTTTTATGTCACGTAACGCTATCGTAACATATTAACATGTCATAATTAATGATAATTAGATATATTAACATATCATAATTAATGGTGATCTGATATGATAACACGACCAAGTGACATTTTTCACCTTCCACAACAATATTATGTTAACGTCATGTAGATATAAAATAACAAGTATCATTTTGATTAATAGTAATTAATCAACCATTAGTAATATTTATTTGAATCTTGCTGAATAATTTTAATACTTTTTTTACCATTACGCCCTCATTTAAATACTTGTAAGCAAACTATTAGACTTGTCATAATCACTTGAATTATCATGTATAATTATTAATTTGAAAAAAATTAATTCAATGAAATATATTAATTTAGGAATACAATACTATAAACATTTCATACTTTCACTTTTTGTTTTATAAATGCTATATTAAATCAAACCTTTGAGCCATCTATTTATAATAGTGATTAGGAGACAGATTAATCAATAACTTAAAATATGGACATTTAGTATTTTGACACAAAAGGAAAATAATTATTTGCAATTTATTTAGTGCCCATTTGGTCTTTGAATTTATTTTTCTAATGGTGAATATTCTGTAGAAGTTTTAGATTTAGTTTTATTTGCATGCTTATCTTTATTTATAAATAATTTAATATTAATTAGTCACTGAATTTATTACTAGCTCAACTATTAGGAATCTAGAGTAAAGTTGTGCCAATATATTTTTTTTTTTATGATTTTGATGATTTCCTTGTCCAACGATGATAACTAATTGTTTTGAATTCTTAGCTTTTAGGTGAAAATGGTTTTTGTTCGGATTCAAATTCTTTTATTAAGTATAATTGTTAGGATGTGTTTTTCGTAATTTTGAGTACTTTATCTTTTACTTTAAATTATTGTGCATATCTAGAAAAGGTTTATATTAAAATAAAATTTAGATTATGTCATGAATTCTAGAAGTTACTCGATTCTCTCTTGAAGTGAAATTCTAAACAATACTTAATTTGAAATACAATTTAGGCTATCTTTGGACCATTTGAGCCTAAAAAACCTACTTTGTTATATATTTATCCTTAGTATACCCCTTTGAGTCTAAGTTCCCTTTTCTTTGTTTAATTATATAAAAAAAGGCTTTGCTTTAAAATAAAATTTTAATTTTGCAACTCTCACTCCTAAGCATGTATATTGTTTTAGAAAATATATGTTGAGATAAATGCATATAGTAGAAAGGTGATGTTGATGTGAAACAAGTTCAAAACATTAAAAATCACCCTATTACCTACAATGCAAAGAAAATAAGTATGGGAGTGTGAAATTGTGAGCAAAAAAGAGAAAAAAAATGTGTTGAACAAAAGAAAAAGTTCAAATGTAGAAGAAAAGGTGTACTTGGAGAAGAAAAATAAAGCTTTATATATAGGTCCTAAAATAATTATGTGCTTAGGGTGATTTGAGGCATATTATTATCTTTTATCCTACTTGGAACCTAGTCATACATTACAAGCTTATTAAAGACCTATTGATCCCTAGCTCTGTGTTCATTTATATTAGTGGAGAGAAAAATGAAAGTAAACTTATGAAGTTCGAGTACTAATTTGAAATTTGTGTTGGCATAAACTAATTTGAATGTCATGATATTCTTGGTAAAAGATTTCACACACACATATATAGAAATCTATACGAGAATGTGCTTACATTGGAATTGAAATATGAGTTTGAATAATGGCTATATTTTTTCTTAAGTTAATAATTGATAGACATACTTTTGAGGAAATTATGAGAAATTATTGAGTAGGTGCACTTAACTCTAGTAGTAACTACATTTATTTTGTTTTCAACATTTGAAATTGATTTTCATAAGTTAGTTTCTTTTCTATATTTTGCTTGAGGAGTAATAAAATATTAAGTTTGGGACTGTAATAACTCTATGATATAGAGTTATTTAGGCTTAATTTTGATAGTAATTTAGTTTAGTTTTTGTGGTAATACATAGAATTTAATAGGTTTTATATAAATTATTTTAAATTAATTAATTTAGG